TGCTTATCTTTACTATATGAAATTTTGTTAAATGGATTTCATTTTCATCTTTGCAAGATCGATGATTTCAGTAGTAAAAGGACTCAAAAATGCTTTTAGAACTTTAAAAATCGATGCTTTAAGTGTATAATCAACACATGATGGACCATTAATATCTTCTGCGCATATATTTAACCTTCTCTATTTTTTTTCTGTATAGTATGTATTTAATCTCTTGGTGGTTCTTATAACTAATAAATTGGATCTCCAAACATTTGTATTCGTAAGAATCTAATTTTCACAAGTTAGATCTCTCCATAATTCACTGAAAGTCTCTGTTTTTACTTTTTTTAATTCTGGTTTCTAAGAGTTTTGGTTTAGATTTCGATATATATATATATGACTTTACTATATGATGATTATGCAATTTTGGTCTTGAAGTGAAACAATTAATGTTGATACCATTTTCTTTTGCAGGGTGAGATCATTTTGGTCTCCCATGAATATTTTTAACAACGATACAGGGATTTTCCGGGGTTTAGTTTCTAGCCCGGTGGCTCGGTTTTCCGAGCGTTCTGATTCGGTTACCGATTTCAACGATGATCTGTCTGATGAAGAAATGGGTATAGAGGAGCTTGAGAAGGAGATATGGAAAGACAAGCAGCGTTTAAAGCGGCTCAAGGAGTTGGCGAAGATCGGGATCAATGAAAGAATGTTGAAGCAGCCTGATGATTGTCAAGAACATTCGAGTAAGAGGATGATGTACAAGACACAAGATGGTGTCTTGAAGTACATGTCTAAGGCAATGGAGCGTTGTAAAGCTCAAGGTTTTGTTTATGGGATCGTGCTAGAGAACGGGAAAACGGTAACTGGATCTTCTGATAATCTCCGCGAATGGTGGAAAGACAAAGTGAGATAATGGTGCTATAATGAAGCACCAAAGAGAGATCAATTCCTCTGATGGAAATGAATTAGCGTCTGAGTTTGAGGGGAGTACCGCGGATAAGTTGCTTGAGCTACAAGATACAACTCCTGGAGCTCTTTTATCGGCGTTGATGCCTAATTGCAAGCCTCCTCAGAGGCGATATCCATTGGAGAAAGGCTTGACACCGCCTTGGTGGCCAACGGGAAAAGATTGGTGGAATCAGTTGTCTTTACCCGCGGATTGTCGAGGACTTCCTCCACAAGCCTCATGATCTCAAGAAGTTGTGGAAAGTTGGTGTCTTGATTGGTATAATCAGGCATATGGCTTCAGACATTAACAACATACCGAAANTCGTGAGACGGTCTAGAAGTTTGCANNAGAAAATGACTTCAAGAGAAGGCTCTTTATGGCTCGCTGCTCTTAACAGAGAAAAAGCCATTATTGTTCAGAATCACTACTCTTTAACCTAAGACAAGAACAACACTTATAGTCTTCTTGTTTATGGAAGCGGCGGCGACACGAATCTTCTGTTTCCTGAATCTGCAGATTATGATGTTGAAGGGACTGGTGGATCTAATCTTCGATTCAATCCTCAAGTCCCTGAATTTGACAACTAAAACAACAACTTCAATTGTGTTTACAAGAGGAAGATCGAAGAAGATTTGGAGATGTCAATGCATCCAACAATCTTAACATGTGAGAACAGTCTCTGTCCTTATAGCCAACCACAAAGGGGATTTCATGACAGGAACATAAGAGAGAATCACCAAATGAGTTGTCCTTAGAAAGCCACTTCCTACTACCAACCCACTAAACCCTTCGGTATGTCTGGTTTCATGGTTCCTTATCCGGGTTGTAACCGGAGTTTTCATGGAAGCAGACCGGAGAATCAAGTGACAAT